AATTTAATATATAATTATCCAAAGTCTTGAATAATTATATATTAATATTTATACATAAATATTATTTTGGTGTAATAATTATGTTTTACTCTTGTATTTTTTATCTTATTATTAATTATATAAATATTAATTATATTAATTCCATCAGAGAGAGAAAATTACAATTTATTAGAAATTAAGACATTTAGAAAGTCACACAAATTAAAAATTTAACTGATTTGACATTTTGAACATACATATTTGTATATACTAAATGGACGATATCAACAAATTAAAATGCTAATCTATACTCATGAAAAATTAAATACACATACTACTATGTTCTCTACACGTTTATTTATCCCATTTTTATTCTCAAAAGCATTGGTGTGTGCTTATTACATTTCCAACAGAGAATACAAAGTCGAAGAGACAAGAAACTTATTAAATAGCATATCAAATATATCCCGCCGAGTCGCGTTCCATCGCAGAAAATATAAAAATTGGAGCGCCGAGGCAGAAATAGGATTTCAAGCCATACACGTCCTGGATGCATCTAGGAAAAATATTGCGCCCGGCTTATCAGGTTTCGCGAACAGGCTCCAAGTTCGCCCGCGACGTTTCGTGGTTCTCTGCGGTTTCGTCTGCGATTTCTGAAGCGTCCGCGAAAACTGCGGAGCGAGAGCTACGAGCTCTATTCCAATCAGATATCATCTAGGTCGGGCTGGCATCAACGGCCAATCGCATTTACGAGATTGCCGCCCGCGGTTTTTGGCATAAAGGCTTGCGCTTATTTCGCGTACCATAGGTAAACTAAAACGAAGGCACCGCGACCTAAGCCTTTTAGTGGCCTCGCCTTTATTCGATACGTGAAATATCGAAGCATTGGAAAAATTGCAAAAAGTATATTTCATAATTTAATGGAGAAATAATTTAATGGAGAATCCGAACTGCGGTTTCCCCTTCGTACGGGTTTCTGAAATGTTTATACGAAATTACACGATGTGCTTATTGAAAAAGGAGGAGGAGACATTACGACATGTATAAATATCAAACATAACATTTTTATTAAGAATGTTGTATGCGCTATGTATGCCAAAAACAATAAATTACAATTATTGGAATAGCTTTTAATAATTGAGATTACAGTTATTTATTGACTATCTTTATTTCCTTCTTTATATTATATTGCATTAGAAAAATGTGATAAGAGAAAAAAATCTTATTAATTAAATAATACATGAAATTATTTATTGCTAGAGAAAATTTGTTTATTTATTGAAAAAGATAAGTTTACAATAACATTATATAATGTTTACAATAACTTATATAATGTTAAATCCAATATCATTAAACAGCTCTTCAAATATTTTAATCAATTCGTCAAAATTAAATACAGTTTATTTATTTAAAACAAATTATTATTAATAAGATCTATGAAATAATTTAAGAAATAATGTTTCAGTATTTATTTATACATTTGCAATAAATCGACAAAATAATTTATCTCTCAATTAATTTTCAATTACAGATTTTATACAGCTTTAGATATATGAGATTAAAATCAATCTTTTTTAATAAATTTATTGATTAATCCAAAATACATCCTGTTCAAAGATCTAAATTTTTATTAGTCCAATTTTATATAAATTAATAAAAAAATCTATTCATCAAATCTATTCATTCGTAAAAAAATCTACTGAATAATAATGTTCTATTGCTATATATATATAAAATGCAATTTCTAATAGCTAAATACACTGAATTCTAATTATGAAATAATTTTATCTTAATGAGTAGTAATTACGCGCATGTATATTTGTTAATAATACGTGATCTTTACGCAAAAGAGTGATAATTACAAATTATCTCCGTTAAAATGCAAAGGATTGATCGATTATTACGTATAGTTTGAATGGTGAGAAAGCCAACGCTGTCTCCATCTTTCATGAAAATGTGAAAAAAGCTATTGAAATCGTCGTTCAATCAATGATGCAAATCACTACTTTCATGTTATTATCATCAATGAAATACATATTTTTCGAAAATCGTACGCAATAAGTATAATTTTTATTAGAGAGATAGTAATTTTTTAATTTAAAAAAATAATTTTAAAGCTCAAATTTTAAACTTTAATCATAATAGTATGATAATTTCTTTGCACACCCAAATTTTTATACTTGCCTATCCGCAAATTTTTATAATATTCACAAATTCTCATAGTATTTTTACTTATCCGTGAATTCTCATAATGTTCTTATCTATCCGCGATAGTATTTCTATCTAAACATGATTAAAATTAAATCGGCAATGTTTGTTATATATGATTATTAATTTCATTATTCATTCATTTATATTTGCGACACACATTACTAAAAATTTTTAATTATACATATGTACATATATATTATATATATATATATATATCTCACTTTTATGTACCAATTTAGATATTTAATCATGATAAAATGGAAGAAGAGGATATAGATAGGTGAATAAAAAATACACATAATATAAACGCTCGTTAATAATTATCATGAATCTATTATTATATGTACATCGTTTCGCTTATGATAAATAAATTATTAAACACTTTCGACGATATTTATCAATATGTTTAATGTAACAACTGCAATTAACAGTGAATTTTATGTTAGATTCTACTCATAAAAAGGTCGTGGAAATTGCATATATTAAAAATATTCTCTAATACATTACAAAATTCCGAAATATTTTAATTTTTTACTGTATATTTATTTTTAATACATAAGATTTATTCAAATTTCATGATTTTCCTGAGTTATTTTTATTCTTAGTTTCTTTATATTCGTTTTTCTGTTTCTTTTCTATAAATATATATATTTCTTATAATGTAAAGATTGTAATCTATGTAATCTAAGATTGTATCTATGAATTATAAGAGATTTAAATATTAAACAACGATAAGTTATAAGAATAATCGTATAACATATAATTATACGTAAAACATACAATTATGAGAGATATTTTATAAAAATAAAAATATTTGTCATACATTATTTTTATTGTATATGTATGTACGTATGAACATGAACATGTTGATAAATGTATATATTGTTGTTCAGCAATACTCTATTCTATAATAAAAAAAATTAACGCGAACATAATAGTAATATAATTACATCAGCATACTTTTCATCCACGAATTGTATAAGTAGCACGGACACACATCAGAATGAGATTTTATTGGCAGTGTCAGAAAATGGAAGTAATTACTGATTGCAATATACTAAAATGAAACTTGGGGTACTAGGGATATACGGGGATTTCGATGAAAAAGGTCGGAATGACCGCTTAAGCTTCTCTTTATTTATATACATAAAAATGTCTACGAGTATTTCTACGGCCAGAGAGAAACTTAAAAGACTTGAGCGACTCGAAAGAACTTGAGAAAAAAATTTGTTTTTAGCACTATTAAAATTCATTATTAATTTCTTCAGCTTTGTATATATTTTAATCGGCTAACGGAATTTTGCAATTTTTTTAAATCTTAAAGCCAATCTAAGGTTGTTTATTTAAAAAAAATATCATTAATTATTTAAATCTAATATCCCTTCAATGTGAATTTTAAATCGAGAATATGTAGAAGATAATAAATATAAAGAAAATAAACATATTTATCATTTAGTACAGAATTAAATTCATAAATACTTATTAAATGTTGGAAACAGTGATATAATGAGAAATTATTATATAAAATAAGATTGTGTGATATATGACATTTACTGCCTTGAAAAAAATAAAAATAAAAGTAAAAATTCACCTAAAAGAAGAATGATAGAAATAAAAACAAAACTTCTAAGAAACATAAAATAGAACATCAGAACATATTTACTTTTTATATAAACTTTTATTCACGTTATGTTCTAATTTACATTTCTTGCAAATATTGTTTTATCATTCCCTCTTTATGCAATAATTATGCGTCAATTTATATTTCTTCCAAAAGGAAAAGGAAGAAATTTCAAATTATAAAATATATAAAATTATCGATAATTTTTTGCACGAAACACTTTTTTTAGATAGTAACAATCGCAAAAAAATGCAAAATAACTATGACTTGCTATTCCAACACGATTTGTTTAGTTCAATTTATGTTCAAAATAATTAACAAACAATATATATAACGTCTATTGGAAATAGACGTTTATATATTGTTTATATAAGGAAATATAAAGATAAAGAGAGAATAGTTCATTTAAGTTCAATACTTCTAGTTTCTCAATATTAGGAACAATAAGGAAAATATCGTAACACATATTAGAAATTGAATCAAAACTTATTGGTTTATTTACTTTTATTTTATTAATTATTTGAATCGCGCAGTTCAAATTTGTATAAGTTTTATAGTAGTTACTGAATTATAACTTCTTATTGAATACACTGGTTAAATATATTTATCTTTTTACTTCTATTATACATGATCAATGTTAATATATGATTCTATGTAAAAAATATGATATATAAATACCGTTTAAATAGTTAGATAACAATAACAATAAGCTTAGTTTCTAATATAAATTATAGTACACTTAATCTTATATATCATGTGTCATCATTTTCATCATATATTTTAGGGACTATGTATAATAATATATATAATAATTATGTCATTATGCTTCATCTCTATGTTTTATATTTATAACTTGCTGTACAAGATTAATATGAAGTAATCGACGTATCTTCACAAATAATATCTCAAAATCAATTCTTAAAGATGTCTCCTTATTTACTAAAAGTTCTAAAGAAAATTTTCTTTTTTTAGATTTGATCATATTACAAATATTAATACAAGAAACAAAACACAGAAAGGTAATAATAATAATAATACTTTACATGAATTTACCTAAGAAAATGTTTTGCAATTTATGATCTTATATCCTTGATTATAGAAGCATATTTTGAGTCAATAAGATTATATCACATATTAAAAAACATATGACTTTTGATTTATGATATAAAGATTTATATTATATATAATATATTATATATAATGTACAAAACATTTTTCTCTTTTTTTATGCTTAATTAATTAAATATACTATAATCGATATCAGTTATTAAAACATCTAGTAAAAAAATCTGAGCATTTCATTTAGTATAAGAATTATGTAATTAGATGTAATTAGAACATCATAATTTTGCTATGTCCATTCAAAAAATACAGTAGCATTTGGCCAAACATGTATATAAAATATTGATTAGTAAAAAAATTAGAGAGAAGTCCAATAAAAGAATTTTTCTTTAGAACATGTCTTTTTGCTCTAAGTATAAATTACGCTTGTTTCTTTAGCAACGTAAAGTTTGACATTCAATAAATCTATTTTTATTTCTATATGATTTGATCTAAATGAATCCAATTTCTCTATTATATTTCTAATAAGGTGGCGGTTGATGTTGATAGGAATGTTGAGGCGGTTGACTCAAGTGCCTCTGTAAATGCGTCACAAGTTGTGACGTTGGTTGCTGACCACCAGCAGCACCTTGCTGTTGCTGCTGCTGCTGCTGCTGCTGTTGAGCAGCCTGTTGCTGCTGCTGTACTTGTTGCTGCTGCTGCTGCATAGCCAACATTTGTTGCCTCATGCGCTGTTGATTTATTGCCTGTTGCTATATAAAAATAAAGACAATTCTTTTATAGACAAATTCTTTACAGATTATTATCTTACTGTAATATATCTTATATTAATATCATAAAAATATACTTGTTGAAATTGTTGATTTTGTTGCAAATTGACATTGGCTGTTCCTACTCCTGTTACTCCTACTGTACCCGGTTTTCCAGCGGATTGTCGATACGGAGGAGCAGGTTGATTCTGAACACCGCCACCCATTGGTCCCATTGCATTCATTGTTACATTCGGTGCCTAAATGAATGACAAAATATATCTTTTAATATTATTTATTTAATCCATTTTTGAAAAAGGCATATTAAGTCGATACTCGAATGTATCGAAGTTATTATTTTTTGTTTGTCGTTTTTCTGCTAATTGGTTCTCTCATTGTGCTTACTTCGTACTGTTATCAATTTGACAGTTGTATTGTAATCAAGGGTTAATAGACAAACTATAACAGTATTATATATAATTTTTGCTTGTTCTAGTTAAAAAAAAAAAATAACATGCGCACATAAAGAAATACAAAAAAAGGGTTAAAAATAAAAAGGAAAAAAATAAGTACCGAGAAATACAAGTAAGAATAAACAAGAAAGAAAAAAATTTAA